CTGTCTGTTTGCACATCTTTGTCAATCCTCCCTTCCTCTTTCCTTCTTACCCCCTTGTCCACAGCTCCTTTCTTTTTTGAGACAGAGTCTCACAGCAACCTCAAACTTTTCGGGCTCAAGCAAATCTCATGCCACAAGTGCCCGCCAACAATGCCCGGCTAATTTTTTTTTTTTTAAGTAGAGATAGTTACTCTTTACTCAGGCTCAGGTTGGCCTCGAACTCCTGAGCTCAAGTAGTCTACCTACCTCAGCCTCCCTACTGCTAGGATTACAGGCATGAACCACTGTACCTAGCCTTTGCCAGTGCTTTCTGTTATCAGTCTTAAAATTTCAAACATGTTGGGGGTGGGAGCAAGTGTATTTTATTATGGTGTTAATTTGTACTTTCTTGATTAACACTGAAGTGGAGCATTTTATGTGTTTATGGCTACTGGGATATTTTTTGTGAAGTACCTTTTAAAATCTTTTTCTTTTAGGTTGTCTGTCATTTTTCTTACCAATTTGTAGGCTTTCCTTTACACTTTTTGCATATGAACCCTTTGTCAGTTACAAGTTACAGATTAACTCTTGTCATTTTGTTGGAAGTATCTTCCATCTGTGACTGGCTTTTTCATTTTCTGAATGGTAGAAATAGCAGTTATTAATACTTTGACACAGTATAATTAAGCAGTATTTTTCTTAAAGTTGCTATCCTATGTAAGAAATACTTTTTCACTCTAGGGTCCAGGAAGTTTTTTTTTTGAGACAGAATCTCACTTTGTCACCCTTGGTAGAGTGCCATGGCGTCATAGCTCACGGCAACCTCAGACTCCTGTGCTTAAGTGATTCTCTTGCCTCGGCATATCACGACTAAGTGATTTACTTATTTATCTCAAGGTGGTAAGGCAGACTTCTATTCAAAGGTCATGGAGATAGGTATAGGGACCGACAGGGTCTTGCAATGAGGGAGAGCTTCTGGACCTAATTCCCACATGAATCTAGTGGTGATCGCACAGTACAGTGCAGTTCTAGAAGATGATAAAAATACCTTCCTCTGCCAGGCGCAGTGACTGATGCCTGTAATCCCAACACTCTGGGAGGCCCAGGGGGGTGCATTGCCTGAGCTCACAAGTTTGAGTCCAGCCTGAGCTGGACTGAGACCCCATCTCTAAAGTAGTCACAGTAGCCTTAATTTAGGTGCTTAACATGTGGCTAGTGGCAGCCATATTAGATAGCAGTGAAGTAGATATTCCCATCATTGCAGAAAAGTTGTGTTGGACGGTGTTGCCCTAAAGGTTGGTTGTACATTTGCATTTTTACTCTGATTGATCTGGTATCAGTTAACCCAGTGATTTGAGGTAAGGGTGCAGCTTCATATTATTTCTTACAAGCAGTCAATTAACGTGATACTATTCAGTGAAAAGACAATGCACAGCAAAACCACCTTTGCTGTCGCATGGGATGACCTCTGGGCCTGTTTCTGTTTCATTGGCATATTTGTCTATCCTTGTGCCAGTAACATTGTCTTTATTACTTTGTTTTAAAACCTGATTGTGATATAGTATCCTTCATAGACTTATGAATTCTGTTCGCACCTATGCTGAAAATTTGTAGTTAATGTGTTTGTGTTTTAATGTATGTCAGGTATGTCGCATACCTTGTGCTGAGTTCTACTTTGAAAGTCTTTCAAAAATTTCAAAGCTCTATTTATAGGCTTTGAGAATAAAGCAATTCTAAGTTTGTTACAGAAAATTTCACACAAACAAATTGTGTGGTAAAGAGGATAGATTCTCTTAGCCATCATAAAGCCAAGGTAAGAAGAGAGAGTGAAGGGAAAAGACAGTCAATAGACCACAGCATACGAGGCGTTCAGAGATGTCTCACAGTTCTGTTGTGACTGTAGGGGAGGTCACAAAACCAGAATGCCGCCTTTGATGCATTCTTATTTGAGTGGCACAAATTGAGGACATGAGATTGTATTTTTTTGTATTCAGAACTGCTCACTGTCCCTGGTTCCTGAACAGTGCTGTCATGGCCATAATCTAAATATTCCCCCCAAGTGTTAGGAAAAGTCCCCTACAGCTGAGGACTCTGTTGTCTGTAGGGTTTGGGCTCCTGGGCATATATATGTATGTTTTGTAGCCTCTTCTGTTTGTTACTGCTGCTGCTATCATCTCTGCCGTTATTCTTTGTCCCATAGACTTACCTTTAGAAATTCCTTTATTGTAATTTTAGTGGCATTTCAGGGCATCAGGAGAAGGGAGACAAATGCATATGCTCAGTCTGGCATCTTTTTTTAGGCACAATTTTCTCCCTGTATGATATAATTTTTTCCTGTTGCAAAGAGATAGTGCTTCTTGAAGTCCATGGAGACTGCCAAAAACCACAATGATTTTGGTTTTGGATCATGTAATAGATCATGTCTAGACATGTTGTTGTTCTTGAGTCTTCAGGATGATATTCTTAGTCTCTTTCAGAAAATATTTTCATGGATTTGTCTTTTGTGGCTTGGCCTTGACTCTTTACATTGCTCACCTTAATGGTATGGACCTTAATCAGTTTCTACTTTTTCACTAAAGTTTTTACATACATAAGTTACTTGAATACTGTCCTACTTGAAGGTGAGGATACTGTGCTATTAATATTAAATCTTTATTCTACTCAGACCTAGTATACATAGGTGTGTACTCTAGTCTTTTGTTTAAATATTACATAAAAAACCAAAGTTTAAAATGTAACATTTATAGTAAAAATCAAGGCCAAGTACCGTGGCTTATACCAGTAATCCCAGCACTTTGGGAGGCTGAGATAGGAGGATTGATTGAGGCCAGGAGTTCCAACAGCCTGAGCAACATAGTGAGACCCTTCTCTACAAAAAGTTAAAAAATTAGCTGAAGGTGGTGGTGCATGCCTGTTGTCCCAACTACTCTGAAGGCTAAAGTTGGGAGATCACTTGAACCCTGGAGGTCATGGTTATACTGAGTTGTGATCACACATTGTGCGTCATCCAGTCTGTATGACAGAGTGAGACCCTGTCTCTGAAAAAAAATAAAATAAAAATTGAATTGCCATTTAGTGTATTGTAGTTTTCTTGCAGTGTATGATGAAAAACCTTGTGACTCTGGGTGAGTAATTTTAGGAGGAAGATTTATATAATTTCTGCTAAAGTGATATTTGAGTATCTGTATTTAATGGATTTGGTTATATAATTTGGTGTTATGAGTATGGTAATGAAACCAAGACTCTTAAGTTTGATTTTTAGCTCCTATGAATATCCCCAATGTAGATTTCTTTTTCTTTCTTTTTTGAGACAGAGTCTCACTATATTGCCCTCAGTAGAGTGCTGTGGCATAATAACTCAGAGCAACCTCAAATTCTTGGGCTTAAGTGATTCTCTTGCCTCAGCCTCCCAAGTAGCCAGGACCACAGGTGCCTGCCACAGCGCCTGCTATTTTTTGGTTGTAGTTGTCATTACTGTCACTGTTGTTTGGCAGGCCGGAGCTGGGTTCAAACCCACCAGCTCCAGTGTATGTGGCTGGTGCCGTAGCTGCTGAGCTACAGGCACTGAGCCCCTAATGTAGATTTTAAGTTTTGTGGTATACTCTGCATTCTTAGCATTGGCAGACCCCCTTGCTAATAATTGTTAACTGTTGTCAAAGGGCTAAAATATTCTGTGTCAAATATAACTGGAAAAAACAATCCAAACTCATTCTTTCAAGGTAATTCAAGTTTTTTTTGTTTGTTTGTTTTTGGTCTTTTTTGAGACAATCTCAAGCTGTCCCCCTGGATAGAGTACCATGGCGCCCTAGCTCATAGCAGCCTCCAACTCTTGGGCTCATGCAATTCTATTGCCTCAATTTTTCTGTTTTTAGTAGAAATGGGGTCTTGTTTTTTGCTCAGGATGGTTTCGAATTCCTGAGCTCAAGCAGTCCACTTGCCTCAGCCTCCCAGAGTGCTAGGATTGCAGGCATGAGCTACTGTGCCAGGCCAAAAATTTCTTTTTGATACGGAGAATAATAATGGGCTATTTTTATTGTCAAGTTTCACTGGATAATTCACTTTTACTTAAAAATAGTTGTCCATCAACAATACTGAATTCTATTTTTTATGTATAGTACATATTTTTCTGTAGGTTCTTTTTGAAACTAGACTTCCTGTGGTTTTGATGAAAGCGTTTTAAATCATATGATGATAGATCAAAAGATGGACATGATTGTGATTCTCAGTTCTGCTGAGGTGTTAGTGTTAACTAAAATGCTTTACAAGTAGTTTCTTTATCCAGTAGCTTAAATTATATTCTTTTAAACTGATACTAAATGAAATTAATCATCAGTGTGTACATGACCCATAAGAAGGCTGAGTTCAGGAGGGCAAGCAGGTGGTGGGGGTGCATGGGGCCTTAGCTGGGTGTTGCTGAATATGGACTTCACAAGTAACTAACAGAGTTTTCTATAGGAGTGGTCTTGGGGTGGTGGGTGGGAGTCATGGTGTCACTTCATCGTAAGAGCTCTTCTGTATTGAGTTTTTAGCAGTGAAATAACAGAAAGACAAGTATCCAAAGGGCAAGGGAAGACAAGATGTCATGTTAAATAAGATTGGCAGTTGACCCCAAAGAGGGCTGAGAAGGAGATAAGCCTCAGCCGTGTCTTTCTGAGCAAGCTTTAATTATTCCTTCTTAGGTAAACTCCCTTAATGTGGATGCTCGGAGTTTTTTTCATCAGTGGGGCCACCATGGTATGAAAAATATAATTGTAAATTAGTAATTAAATGGATCCCATATTTTAGTGACACTGTAGTACTAATGAGTTGAGCTTATTTTTTGAGCTTTACTTAGCTCTTTTTTCCCTTTAAGCTGTCTTATTTATTCCTTGAAGGCCTTTAAATATGAAGGATATAATTGTATAGAAGACACAGCTAATGAGCTGTCTAGATTTGCAGGGTCTGTTGGCATTGATTACACGGTTCAGTTATTTTGAAATAATCTTTCAACAATGGTCCAAATATTTTTGTTTCCGTTTTAGAACAAAATCCAGTCTCATAGCAGAGGAGAATATAATGTTTACAGCACCTTCCAGAGCCATGAACCAGAGTTTGACTACTTGAAAAGTTTAGAAATAGAAGAAAAGATCAACAAAATTAGGTGGTTACCCCAGAAAAATGCTGCTCAATTTTTATTGTCTACCAATGGTAAGTGTACAATTTTCTTTCATGTGCCCATGGTGTGCACATATCTATTCTCTTCTTTTCAGAGGAATCATTGTTAAGAATTCTCTGAAAAGGAAATTTTTCTTCCCAATACAGAATGTAAATTCTACTTCTTTCTCTTTTTTAATTGTTCAATTATAGTTTTTGGATTATCTGGAAGATTCTCAGGTACCAATTTTTTGCTCAGCACACCCAGTTCACAGTGAAAAGAATGGGCTTGCTTACACCATTGGAGTCAGGTCGCATGACTTTTCTGCCACGTCTTATCAGTAACTTGGAAATGGTAGTGTCTGTATTAAAGTGCTTAAGTACAAGTGCTCAATAAATGTTAATTTCCTTTCTTTCTCCTTGTTAAATGTACTTAAATGCTACAAAGAGTATTTCAAACTATAAATACAAAATACTCTTGTTAGAGGATGTTCTCCAATCTGGGATACTCTGTAGGAGGGGGCACTCTTCTTTCTTGCTCCAGGCAAGACACTTGGTTGGAAGAAGATTCACTTGCCCAGGGAAAGTTATGTGAGGATTAGAATTGTGTAATGACTCCTTTATAACAAGTGCATAACAATATAACTATCACCCAATGAATGGGTGATTTCATTTTGTTCTTTCAAATTTTTTTATTGTGAGTTGGGGGTCTTGAGTCTAAAGAAAATCATTAGTGATTGAGGGGATACTGGAGATTCTGAGTAGCCATAGTGTATAAAAGTCTGTTATTAATGCCTTTTTGAGGTTGGCACAAGAGTTGTGGTAAACCTGTCATATTTTCTTATCTCCTGTTAATATAAGCAAATTCTAGCACCTAGGCCTTACCAATCTTTGTCATTTTGGAGCATGTAAATTCAAGTGACTTCTGTGGTGACATGGTGGAAAATACTGAGTGCCTCTTCCATCTGGCTTTTGCCTTATTACCCCCTATATTGAATGGTCACCAATACAGTCCACCAATGATACCACATTCCCTGATGCCAAAAGTGTTTGGTTCCTCCTAGGTACCCCTTTTTCTCATCAACAAAGCTCTCTCTAACTAAGCCGTCAAAATTGGTGCCCTCTGCCTCTTCTCTTTTCAAATAAATTATAACTCCCCTTTCCTCCTCATTAAAAGAAAAACAGAAATAATGACCCCAAACCTATTTAAACTAACTCCCAGCATCATAGGAGGAGGAACTGTGTTTACTTCTGTCTTGTGTTGGCTTCTGTCCTTAGGTCAGTTTTCATTTATAAAATGGTAAACTGTTACTCTGAGACACTGCTCTTTACTTAGCATCAAATAATACATAAAGATTATACCATTCATATACCTGCTACTTTTAGGAATAAATGTCTCTAGGAATTCTTTTGTTAATCACTTCATATACTGAAATATTTTCTGGCACTTTATTTATTGTATGACAGATGGGTTTAATTGTAAGGGGAGATAATTTTAAAATGTAGTCTGGGGTAGAAAGAACAGAGTAGGCTCAGTGCTTGTGGCTCAAGCGGTTAAAGCGCCAGCCACATACACCTAAGGTGGCGGGTTTGAATCCAGCCCGGGCCTGCCAAACAACAATGATGGCTGCAACCAAAAAACAGCCAGGCGTTGTGGCGGGCACCTGTGGTCCCAGCTACTTGGGAGGCGGAGGCTTAAGCCCAGGAGTTGGAGGTTGCTGTGAGGAGTGAAGCCATGGCACTCTGCCCAGGGGGACAGCTTGAGGCTCTGTCTCAAAAAGAAAAAAAAGAACAGTGTAATGAATCGATCATGTCTACTAAATATCTTCAGTACATAAATTAGAAAAATGATTAATTACACAAATTGTTTAAAGACACTACAGAATGCACTGTAGGTTCCTGTCTTCTTGTTAATGAATAAACTACATAATAAAAAATAAACTACTAAGTAAAATACAACTGGTGCTGTATTTTCTTATGTGATAAAAATAGTACTTAAAAATGGGTCCAATGTCGGCTCGGCCCCTTTAGCTCAGCAGCTAGGGTGCCAGCCACATACACCAGAGCTGGTGGGTATAAATCCAGCCTGGGCCTGCCAAACAACAATGACAACTACAACCAAAATATAGCTGAGGCTCAGCACCTGTTGCACAGTGGTTAAGGCGCTAGCCCTATATACTGAGGGTGGCGCGTTCAAACCCAGCCAGGGCCAGCTAAACTGCAACCAGAAAATAGCCGGGCATTGTGGTGGGCGCTATAGTCCCAGCTACTTGGGAGGCTGAGGCAAGACAATCGCTTGAACCCAAGAATTTGAGGTTGCTATGAGCTGTGATGCCACAGCACGGCACTCTACTGAGGGTGGCATAGTGAGACTCTATCTCAAAAAAAAAAAAAATGGGTCTAATATGGAAAAGACTAAAGCAGATGTGGGAATTTTACAAACTGTTATACCTGCATACGATGGGATGGGGAAAAGGATAACAGGGGTGGGATATAAGCAAGGTCTGAAAAGCTTTATTTAAAAAGAGAAAGTGATTTAGGGAAAATGTTGACATCTGCTAAATCTAGGTAATGTCTGTGTGTTACTTTGTGAGTTTTTTTTTTTTTTTTATGTTTTGGATTCATTGAGAGTGCAAAGAATTAGGTTATACTAATTGCATTTGTTAGATAAAGTCCCTCTTATAATTGTGCCCTGCCCCCAAGCAGTATGCCATACACCATGACCCCCTCCCCGCTCCCCTCTCCCCACTTCTCCTTCTCTTACCCCACCCCTTGTATTAGCTCATCTACTGCCTTCATATTAGAATTGAGTACATTGGATTTTTGCTTCTCCATTCTTGTGATGCTTTACTGAGAAGAATGTGTTCAACCTCCACCCATGTTAATACAAAAGATGTAAAATCTCCATCTCTTTTAATGGCTGAATAGTATGCCATGGTTTGCATATGCCACAGTTGTTAATCCATTCCTGGGTTGGTGGGCATTTAGGTTGTTCGCACATTTTGGCAATTGTAAATTGACCTGCAATAAACAGTGTAATGCAAATGTCCTTATGATAAAAGGAGTTTTTTTTCTTCTGGGTAGATGCCTAGGAATGAGATTGCAGGATTGAATGGGAGGCCTAATTTGAGTTCTTTGATTATTCTCCATATTTCCTTCCAAAAAGGTTGTATTAGTTTGATGTCCCACTAGCAGTGTAAAAGTTGTTCTTTCTCTCCACAGACACACCAGCACCTGCAATTTAGAGATTTTGTAACATAGGCCCTTTTCACTGCGGTTACCTGATACCTCAGGGTAGTTTTGATTTGCATTTCTCTGATGATCAGGGACAATGAGCATTTTTTTATATGTTTGATAGCCATTCGTCTGTCTTCTTTAGAGAAGGTTCTATTCATGTCTCTTGCCCAGTGACATATGGGATTGTTTGGTCTTTGTTGTTGTTGATTAGTGAGTTCACTGTAGATCTTAGTTATCAAGCTTTTGTCCAGCTCATACTATGCAAATATCTTTTCCCATTCTGAAGGTTGTCTGTTTGTTGTCTCCTTAGCTGTACAGAAGCTTTTCAGTTTAATTAAGTCCCATTTGTTTATTTTTATCATTGCCGTTACCATAGAAGTCTTCATAAAATCTTTCCCCATTCTGATATCTTTAGGTGTTTTCACCACACTTTCTTTGAGGATTTTTATTGTTTCATGCCTTAGATTTATATCTTTTATCCATCTTGAATCAATTTTTGTAAGTGGTTAGAGGTGTGAGTTCAGTTTTAGTCTTTTGCATGTGGTTATCCAGTTCTCCCAACACCATTTATTGAATAGGGATTCTTTTCCCCAGTGTATGTTCTTGCTTTGTTTTTCAGAGATCAGGTGGCTGTAAGATGTTAGTTTCATGTCATGGTTTTATATTCGGTTCCAAATGTCAGTGTCTTTATTTTTGTGCCAATACCATCCTATTTTGATCACTTATGGCCTTATAGTATAGCCGAAAGTCTGGTAGGGATGATACCTCCAGCTTTGTTTTTATTACTTAGAATTATCTTGACTGTACAGGGTTTTTTCTGGTTCTATACAAAGCGAAGAATTATTTTTTCCAAATCTTGAAAGTATGATGAAAGTATTTTTATGGGGATTGCATTGAATCTGTAGATTGCTTTGGAAAGTATAGACTTTTTGACAATGTTGATTCTTCCCAGCCATGAGTATGAAATGTTTTTCCATTTGTTAATTTCTTCTGCCATTTTTTTTCTTAGGGTTTCATATTTCTTTGTACAGATCCTTCACTTCTTTTCTTAGGTATGTTCCCAGGTATTTCTTTTTCTTTTTTTTTTGAAGCTACTGTGAAGGGAATTGTGTCCTTGATTAGCTTCTCATCTTTGCTGTTATTGGTATAGACAAAGGCTACTGATTTGTGGACATTGATTTTATATTCTGAGACATTACTGTATCTTTTGATCACTTCCAGGAGTCTTGTGGTTGAGTCTTTGGGCTTCTCAAAGTATAGGATCATATCATAGGCACAAAGTGAGAGTTTGACCTCTTCTTCCATTTAGATGCCTTTTAGTTCCTTTTCTTGCCTGATTATATTGGCTAGAACTTCTGACACTGTGTTGTATAGTAGTGGTAAGCGTGGATAACCTTGTCTGGTTGAAGTTCTAAGTGGGAAAAGCTTTCCTTTTTACCTCATTTAGTATAATGTTAGCTGTGGGCTTGTTGTAGGTGACTTTTTTTTTTTTTTTGGATCAGATTAAGAAGTATGCCACCTATGCCTAAATACTTAAGTGTTCTAATCAGAAAAGGATGCTGAATTTTATCAAATGCTTTTTTCTGCATCTATTGAGAGGATAATATGATCTTTGTCTTTGCTGTTGATGTGGTGAATTATTTTTATGGACTTGGGTATGTTAAGCCACCCTTGTATCCCTGGGATGAAACCTACTTGATCGTGATGAATGATTTTTTTTAAATGTAGCTGCAGTCCATTGGCTAGAATTTTATTGAGAATTTTTGCATCTATGTTCATTAGTGAAATGTATCTGAAGTTCTGCTTTTTAGTTGGGT